TTTCATTGATAGCATTTTTATTTCGTGATGAATGAAATGCTTATCTTAAAATTATGTCTTAAGTTAATGAAATACACTTGCGCAAGAGTCCTGACACTGTGTTTTAAATGCCTCTCAAATTTCTTTCCTCTGGTATTCCCACTCTAAAGCTGTATCTCTTGCCTAAAATATGGCAGTGATCAACTGTTTGCCTTGTCTCCAATCTTTTTTTTTAACCTAGTCACACTTTCCAAGTTATCATTTGAATTTCAAATCCAACTGTCACTGTTCTGCTTAAAATCTGTTAGTGACTCCCCATTGCCTTTGAGAGAATTTCTCCTTGTCTTTAAAGTAAGTCTCAATTTCTTAGCCGTGACTTTTCAGGACTGGCCATAACCCTGACTTTCTGGCATTATCTTCTTATTGGCATTCACTCCTCCCCATTTTTAATTACTATAACACTGTAATGTTTTATTTCTTTATTTACATTTCTGTACATTTTCTAGTACGTATATATTACTAATATAGTGCTTACTAAATTGCCTAGTGGATCTGTTTAAAGATTTGCTACCCTTAGTATAGGCTATGACTCCGTGAAAATCACGGACCGGGTCTCACGTTTTTTTTTTGTGAGTCTTCACCACTTAGATAAGTGTACTGATGCCAACAGAAAAATTAACATCCAGTGAACACAAACTTAATGTTCATTGAAGGAGTAAATTTTGAAAACTGTATTATAGTGATGAAAAGTACAAATTGAACTCTTAAAAAATACTCACATGAGCTACAAATTTGACTTCATGTAGTTACATTAAGTTGGACCTTGAAGCAAAAAGAAAAGGTTATCCTACATTTACGGGGAAAGGGTTAGCCTAGCTGTCTGGGGTCAGGTGGGGGAATGACACAAGAATGAATCAGACCAAATTACCTCTAGTTTTACAGGATGGATCAAAGGAACTAACTCTGGAAAGGAAAAATTGAGCACATGTAAAGTGTCTTTAGTATTAGGGTGAGTTTTATGCCACTTTGGTAGACTGTAGGGAGCAGTTCATGAATTTTGCCTTCGTGAATGACATATGTGTTAATCTAATAGATGAAAGCCTATCAGGGGTAGTGTCTTACTTGGTTTTGTATACTGAAGGATTACCATAGCGCCTGCCTAGCAGGAAATGTTGAATGAATTGACTTAGTTTTCCTGTATATTTACAAATTGGTGAAATTTTAGAGTTCCACAGAACCTGGTATTAAATATACGCATTTATAGGTTTATAAATTAATTTGGGAAAATTGGCATCTTTATGATACCTTTCTATCCAAGAACATGAGATATCTTTCTTTCTATTTGTTTAGGTTGTTTTTTATATTTGGGAGTATTTTAAAGGTTTCATTTTGCATTGTAGTCTTTAGCATTATGAAATTTCCTTATGTTTAATGATTTTGCTCCATATTCTGCCTAGTCTGCCTGCTACCAAGATTGACAGCCCTATTATTTTTGTTTGTATTATATTTTTCAGTACACTTTTCTGCGTATTCCTTTTACTTTTAATCTGTCTAAATCACTTTGTTTTAGGTATGTCTCTTGTGTAGAGCATAAAGATGGATTTTAGTTTTTTTAGCCAATCTGGAAATAATTTTGTTTTAATAGGTGAGTTGTGATCATTTGCATTTATTGATAAATGCATTACATTTGGGCTTGTTTCTGTTACATGACTTTCAAAAACACTTGTTGTCTTTTTACTCTGTGCTCTGTTTGTGACCTCCTCCTTCTTCCCTTTTTGGTGTTTTGGGAAGTTTCATTTCCATTCTGTTACCTTTAATTGAAGATAGAAACATTTCTTAGCCCTTCTTTAGCTTCTGTCTTTGTTCCCCACGATGAACAATACCAACATTGTCTAGTTACTGTTTTTTTCTTTTTCTTGTATAATTAAATTGTAGTTTAAATATCTTGATGTTAGTACCTGTGGTGTTGAATATGTTTAGGTTTGTACTAATTGATTTGTAAGCCTCAAAGTGATTTGCTTCCCATTACTTCCAGTTATTATTTAAGATATTCGTGAATTTAGTTTCATCCATCTCCTATTTTTGTGTGTTATCCTTACATTCTCAAATCTTGTAACATTTACATAACTATTTTGCCAGCTTTATCCTCATTTAAAAAGGAAAATTTACTTTTAGAGCCATTTTAGGTTCTCAGACAAATTGAGCGAGAAGTACAGAGTTCCCAGAAAAGCCCCTGTCTCCCCACACACACAGCCTCCTCCACGGTCGACCGCACCGGAGTGGCACGTGCGTTACGGTTGATGCACCTGCTTCAACACAGTCATCATCCCTCAGAGCCCTGCGTTTACATTGGGGTTGGCTCTTGGTGTTGCATGTATATCTCTGAGTTTTAGCAAATGTATGATGACGTGTATCTACCATTATAATATCATCCAGAATAGTTTCACTGCCCTAAAAATGCTCCGTGCTCTAATTATTTATCCTCTGTAGCCTCTAATCTTTGTCAACCATTGTTTTACCTTCTCCAGTTTGTCACATTAGTTGGCATCACCCAGTATGTAACATTTTCAGATTGGATTTTTTTATAGAGTTAACTTATATAGTTATAGAATTTATTTTTTCCTATGCTTTTTCTTGGCTCGCTAGCTCATTTCCTTTTAGTGCTAAGTAATATTCCTTTATCTGGACGTACCACAGTTCATTCATTCATTCACCTACTGAATTTTTGTAGCCATTCATCTACATATTGGTTGCTTTCCAGTTTTGGCAGTTATGAATATATAAACATCTGAGTGCAGATTTTTGTGTAGACATAAGTTTCAGCCCCTTTGGTTTAATGTCAAAGAGTGCGAAGCTGGATCGTATGGCAAGAATACAGATGTTTAGTTTTCGTCCGACTGCTTTCAGCCTGTCAGCCAGCCAGTTGCCTTCCAGAGACAACCATGGTGGGAGTTTCTTTTGTATTCCCAGAAAGGCTTTCTATATGCATGAAAGTAAATATTACCTATTGAAATATGTAAAGATATGTAAGCGCTGTTCACATCTTGAATTTTTTACTTAAGCTCTCTTGACTATCTCTCAGCATTCACATGACCCATAGCCCCAGTCCTGAAATCGAGCCCTTTTCATTGTATGGAGTTACAGTAATTTACTTAACCAGTCCTTTATTAATGGATATTTAGGCTAATTCTAACCTTCTTCTATATTAAACACTGTTGCAATAAATAGTCTTAATGTATAGTAAAAAAAAAGAATTCATTTAATTTTGTAAGAAACTGCTGCACTGTCTCCCAGAGTGGTTGCACCATTTTGCAGTCCCTCTGGCAATGAAGGGGAGTTCCTGTTGATCCGCATCCTCACCAGCATTTAGTGTTGTCTGTGTTCTGGTGTTTTGGCCATTGAATCGTGGTACTTGTTTCAGTTTGCATTTCCCTGATTTCATATGACACGGGGCATCTCTTCATATGCTTATTTTCCCTCTGTGTATCTTTTTTGGTAAGGTGTCTGTTCTGATGTTTTGCCCATTTTGTAATCAGATTGTTCATTTTCTTACTCTTGAGTTTTAAGAATTCCTTGTATATTTTTGGATAACCATCCTTTATCAGGCATATTTTTTTGCAGGTATTTTCTTCCAGTCTGTGGCTTATGTTTTCATTCTCTCGATATCCCCATCTTTTTGTTGTCATTCTGTAATTAAATACATTTACTTCTCGTCCTGTCTTTAATGTTAAATCTTCTTCAGTACATTCTTGATTATCTGAAACTCATTCTCCACTGGATCACCCAGGCGTGCTCTGGGAAAGAGATTCTCTAAAGTTTTACAGGTTTATAACTCTTTGCCTCTGATCTTACACTTGAAGGACACTTTGGCTGGATTTAAAATCCTCATCTCATGTTTGTTTTCCTTTGAGTATCTTAAAAACATTACTGCATTGTTTTCTAGCATTAACTGCTGTTGATGTTAAACACCAGTCTGATTTTCTTTCCCTTGTAGGTGGATTGGCTTTGTGATTTAAGTATTTTGTTATGATAATTTCATATATTTTTGTTTGTTTTCCATGTTTCAATGAATTGGATTTCCCTGGACCACTAGGAGGAGAGGGTCCTGTGAAGGTGTAGGTAAACCAGGACAGCTCTCCCTTCTATTGTTCTGAGTGTATCTGCTTAGCTGCTTCTATCTCTGAGAGTTAAGCCTTATCCAGAAGGTTTTCTCCTCTTCTAGCCCAGTGTCTCTGTGAGTTTTACAGGCTTAACATTACAGCATAAGCTACTTATTTTTATAGTATTTTCTGTGATCTTTTTCCTTAGGAACTTTGCCCTCACCTTTTTCCTTTCATATCTGAAACTTTTATCTCCATTGTTCCTGTTTTTCATTTTGGTTTCAGATTATAAGTTGTTTCCTTAGCATGGAGTTCCGTGCTGAAAAGGTTTCTTTGCTTTGAGATACCTGAAAGTTCAGAGCTTCACGGCACTGTTTGCTGCCTTGGGACGGATTTTTGTACTTAACCTACAACTTGGAGCCTGGGAAAACCTTTCCCTTTTTTTCATTTGTTTTCAGATTCGTTTTTCCAGTTTCCACCAATGGTAGAATCCTCTTCTTTTGAGTTATTTATAATGATTATTTGGGCTGCGAGATTTTGCAGGGTCCTGCTGTGGTCCCATTACTTCCGTTGCTTCCCTTCCACACACCTGCCGATTCCGTGGCGTTGGCAGTGGAGCCCCATCCTCTCGTGGTCTAAGATTTGAGGGGATTCTCTTTTACCTGCTTTTATTGAAGACACAGTAGTCATTGGGTTCTTCTGATGTCACAGTTGGTATATTTAGCTTTCAGGAGTTGTCCTTGGGAGATGCAGAAACTATGCTGCCACCAGTTATAATGCATCCAACCCATTATTTTATTAGTGTAATTGCGACCAATACAAAAGGAGCTTGAACTTCTTTATCTCTAAGTTTGAAAGATTAATGTAGAGCAACATACAAAATTGCATTTGTAACGTCTTTTAAAATTAAAAAAAGATTGAATGCTCACTTCAGCAGCACATTTACCAAAATTGGAACGATGTAGAGAAGACGAGCGTGGCCCCTTGTGCAAGGATGACACAAATTTGTGCAGTGGTCCATATTTTTAGTATCCACCAACAAACGAGTGGGTCAAAAAAGTGGTACATTTATACAATGGAATACTGTACCACAGCAGAAAGAAAGAAGGAGCTTCTACCCTTCGTGACAGCATGGATGGAACTGGAGAGCATTATGCTAAGTGAATTGAGTGAGGCAGTGAAAGACAAATACCATATGATCTCACCTGTAAGTGTAACCTAATCAACAAAAGTGAGCAAAATAGAACCAGAGACATGGAACTAAAGAACAAACAGTGACCAGAGGAGAGGGGGCAGGGAGATAACAGGGGAAAGAAGGGGAAAGGTCAAGGCAAAGAACGTATATAAAGGACCCATGGACAAAGACAGTGGGGTGGGGAGGCAGGGCAGGGGAGAGCAATGGGGAAAAATGGGATCAACTGTAAATAAACAATAAGTAAAAAACCTTAAAATTTATATCATTTTAAATTTTTCAATTAGAGTGGACATACACATAGTGATTAGACATTACATAATTTACTAAGTAATCATCCCACCAAATCTCATACCCATCTGACACTGTACTGTAACATCTTAATATAGGAGTTTTTTTAAACATCTTTTTGTGTTCTGTTGGGAGTCGTGTATAAATGTAAGATGTAATTTTTGTTGTTAACTTTCTAGGTTTTAAATATGTACCATTTGCCTCTGGTTCTAGTGTTAAAATGCTATAATCTAATGGAAATTTTAAACTAATCGAGATATGGTACATAAAATTATAAGTAAAAAATTTTGTAAGTAAACATGGAAACAACCTGAACTGAATATGAATTGAAACAATTAAACATAACTGAAGAAATTGCTTGCTTGATCGAAATAAATATGTTCAGACAAAAGTTAAGGGAGAAAAGAATGAAATCATTTAATTGTTTATTTTCACTTGTAATATACAATTATACTTAATCTTTGGATGTTTTATCAAAGAAATGTGAAAATTTAATAAGTGAGTTAGAATTATTTGTAATTTTAGTTTTGCCCAATTGTCTTCTGTATAGCCAGTGCTATATAAACATTTCACTGTGACTGTTGTAGAAGGAAATAGGATTACTATTTTGTAATTTTACCAGTAAAGATTATATAGTCTGCTGAGTCTAACTTCAAACTATGGAAACCCAAAGTAAAATGATCGATTTCTCACAGGAACTAAAGTTAAAAGATGAAGAGTGTGAGAGGCTTTCCAAAGTGCGGGATCAGCTTGGACAGGAATTGGAGGAACTCACAGCTAGTCTATTCGAGGTTGGTCTATTTACATCTTGGCCAAAGTCTTGATTTTTATATATTGATAGAATTGTTTTTTGAGGGAATCTGGAGAAAAATATGCTTAGGTTTATGCATATTTATAAGTCCTCTAAGGAAAAAAGAAAATCCTTAAGAAATGTAGAGTCTGCAACTTAAAATGCTGTGAAAAGGAAAGAAGACTATGGGCAACTGGTATCAAATTATTTAAAATGCATACGTGGAAAGAAAGAAGGTAGATTTTAATCTTGGTTTTTACTGAGTATTCCGGGACTGCTTTAGAGTAACTTCAGTGTGACTTCTACAACAAAGATGTCAAACCCTTGGTGTCTACCTGGTACGGGATGATGTGAGGAGTTTAAGGAGGTGCATCTCCCTACTAGAAGGTGCACCTTTTTACCTGCAGCCTCCTTCTGGGACCAGCATTTTTGCCCAACTCAAACAGTGTTTCTCAACAGGAGTGCTATTGATGTTGTAGGATATTTCGTGTGCTTGGTGTATTAGTCAGGGTTCTCCAAGAAAAAGAAGTCATAGGATGTGTGTATATACATTGACACATACACACACAAAAGACATACAAGGAATTAGCTGATATGAATTATAGAGGCTGGTAAGTCCCAAGTTTTGCAGGGTGAGACCCAGAAGAGCTGATGGTGTAGTTCCAGTCCAAGTCCAAAGATTTGAGAACTAGGGGAGCTGATGGTGTGATCCTAATTTTAAGGCCGACAGGCTCAAGACCCAGGAAGAGCTGATGTTTCAGTTGAGTCTGAAGGCAGAAAGAATTCTCTCAACTCTGTGTGGGTCAGCCTTTTGCTCTGCTCAGGTCCTCAGCTGATTGGATGAGGCCCACTCATGTTCTGGAGGGCAGTCTGCAGTACTCAGCCTGCTGATGTAAGTGTCCATCTCATCCAGAAACGGCCAGGATAATGTTTGACCAAATATCTGGGCACAGTCAGGTTGACACAAAATTAACTGTCACACTTAGCTTTGCCCCCACAGTGCTAAAAATACTCCCTGATCATTTTGACAACTTATAAATATTCATGAGGGTGGGTAGAGGATTGCTGTGGAGAATTGCTGCCATGGAGTGCCTCCTTTAGGTTAGCCCCCAGAATGTTCCTTGTCAAAAACATCCGTGTGGTACTAGAATGACTAATGTTACCACTCACCTACATTTTTCTTCTTAGAAATTTGTTCTCAAAACTTTTGATATAATGCAAGATTTTAGAGGGAATTTTTTTTATCCTTTAATTTGTATTTATGCAGCATCTATATATTTCAGTGTTGGGTATGTGTATTTGCTCACATAGTTGTAATCCTACTGTATTTTATAGGTTTTCCCCCCAAATAAACCTCTTTTCATGTTACTACATAGTCAGTGTAATGACAGAGTAATCTGTCAAATGCATATTCTACAATTTGTAGGATTACGTTGCGTGGAACTCTACAGACGTGAGCTATCTGTGCACCTTCTGCTCCACATGTCTCCTCGGTCCTTCTGGGGGTCATTTTGTTTCATGAACATTTTAAAACTAAGTTATATTTTGTTTAGTTAGCTAGCCGTCAGAAATGAGAGGAAGAGAAATTTAAGGTGGAGGAGATGGGGAAGTCAAAGGTCTGGAGCAGGAGCTAGCCGTGTGTCTTGTTACATTTTTATAGGTACCAGGTCTATACAGAAACATAAGGCTTTCTTCCAGTGTTGTCTGGCTAGAAGAAAATTCTGACTGTGTTGCTATTCAATAAGAAAGCAGATATGTTATAGTACTTATGTTAATTTTGATTTCTTACCTGCTTAAGCTCCACCCTTCTGTACTTACATGTATATTCTGTTAGATGAAATTGAAGGAAAACAGACAGAGAGAACCCTTTCCCTCTCTGTAGTGGGATGTGAAGTACCAGAAATGCAGTTTCTGTAATTGATGGAAATATGTCTAGAAAACATAGCTTTGGAGTCCCTTAGCTATCTCCCTAAGCTAACAGTGGCTAAAGTATTGACGCGAACTTTCTGGGAAAGAAATTACATTGATTTAACATGATTTTAGTAATGAAGAAAGTTATATTCAAATCAATTATTCATGAATTTTCAGAAAAAGTGCTGAAAGTTTTTCTCTGGTCTTAATTGTGGCTTCATGATCTCAGTTTACCATTTTCTTTTGAAAAGATTTTTGTGCATGTATTTTATGTATATGTATATACATGTGTAGGTTTAAGAATTAAAGATTATTCTAAATAAACTCAATTTGCACAGTTTTCGTATATTTAACATGTACATTTAAATTCATTTACTATGTATGATGAATCTTGAATATAATTATACTTTGTATATAGCAAAGTTGAGTCTTAAAAGTGTCAAATGGAAGAACTCTAAAGTTATATATATATTTTTTTCTCCTAGTATCTTAGATTTTGAGATAATACTATAAAATTAAAGAATGAAAGAATGCTCAGTTGAAAGAATGCTTTACAAAGTAATCTTACATTTAACATGGGAAAAAAAGATAGGTGATCCTAAGATTAAAAAAATTGTCAGCCAATTTTAGTAAATTTTTATGATGTGTGTGGTTTTTCTCTTCATAATGCTATGAGGCATAGAGTGTAAATTATTATCATCTTACGTGTGAAAAAAACGAGGCACAGTAGGCTGAGGAGCGCTGCTGGGACCCAAATTCCTGACCTCAGCTCCTGCTGTAAAAGTCATGTGGCGACTCCTTCTGTCTAAGCCATCACTGAAGACAGTCGTCACGGAGGCCTCTCTTCATCCCACATTCGGACTCAGAACGGTTGTACCTCAAGCCCATAAAGCAATCTCTCCACCTTTCTATTTGATGTTGCTGACACCATGTTTCACGCCACCATCGTTTCTTACCTAGATCAATAATGCCGAACATTTTGTTCATGTACCTGATCAGTAAAAGAAGAATTCGAGTGTGTACCTTAGTTAAGACGAAGATACTGTATATTTATTGAGGATTCTTTATGGGTTAGGGACTGTTTTTAAAGCATATATACTTACTTAGAAACCATATACATATGCTAACATTCATAATAATGTGTTACATAAATTATAAAACAATTTTATAAAGAATGAGAATAAAGATAATTAAATTTTTCTTATAATACACAATATTTTCTCACTAAAACATATTGTGTGCGTGCACATTAACTTGGGTGAGCAAAGTGGGTTTACAGTTGTCTGTATGGAAAGTAACACAATCATTAATAAATAATAATACAAGAATCAACTCAGTTTCGCATACAACCATAAACTTACTTTTGCACACCCCTGTGTTTAGTGAGAGGAGTTTGACTGAATATGTCACCTTGTTTTTGAAAATGTTGTTTTAACAATTTATTATCTTGATGAAGATCTGATCTAAGTGTTGTTTTTTTAATTAGATTTAATGCAGCTGATACCTCACAAACATATAGATCCAACTGGGAGAAGTGTATCTTCCCTTGTTTTAAATCATTATACTAAACTTTCAGTTCTGTTATCAGTTATGTGAAGGTTTTTTCAGAAAATTCAGTCTTGAATTTCTGTCTTCTGTAATACCAACAAATTGTTTGTGCAAATTAATTAGATTAGGACTAACTCATGCTTTTGGCAGAAGTAGGTTAACATTCTGTTTTCAGAGTTTGTCAGGATAAGCATGTGACTACTTCCAGCAGGGTAAAGCTAGTCTGTATGTACTTTTGTACAGCCTGGAGATGACTGGTTTTTACATTTTAAAAGGATTGGGGGGAATCGGAAGA